GTTCATTTCGGTTCAACGTCTAACAGAGACTATAAAACAAGTTTATTATGTCAATGAGAGTTATATAAATGTTTATAATTAATCAAACATGACTTCGAAAGGAAAGAGAAATGCTTTAGAAAAAAATCAATTTATTTTTCACTTTGATATAAACTGTACACTAGATAATACTTCAGTCATTGTTTACAAAACCAGAATGTTTTATTATTGTAAATAATTTCCGAATTAAAATTTCTCCTTGAATGATCACATCACTATCTCTTCATTCTTTTGAAGTTTGTATCATTTAACTGGAATTATTTAATTTTTAACTTTATCCCCTAATGCACATATTTGTAAAATATTTTTGATCCTAAACGTAACATAATTTCTAGATTCATTCTAAATGTGAAAATACACTTAGAATTTTTTTAAAGTCATCAACATCCACTTCTGGCATTCGGTTATATTTCTCATAGTGACTAGAAATTTTCAGATGTTATACTTACTTACTTATGCCTGTTACTCCTCTCAAAGGAGCATAGGCCGCTCACCAGAATTCTCCATCCAACCCTGTCCTGGGCAATCCTTTCCAGCTCTTTCCAGTTCCTATTCATCCCTTTCATATCCTCTTCTATTTCCTGACGTAATGTGTTCTTTGGCCTTCCTCTTTTCCGCTTCCCTTCAGGATTCCAAGTCAGCGCTTGTCTCGTAATGCAGTTTGATGATTTCCTCAAAGTATGTCCTATCCATTTCCATAGTCTTTTCCTAATTTCCTCTTCAGCTGGAAGCTGGTTGGTTCTCTCCCACAAAAGGCTGTTGCTGATGGTATCCGGCCAATGGATGTTGAGTATCTTGAGTAGACAGCTATTGATAAATACTTGTACATTCTTGATGGTGCTTGTTGTAGTTCTCCAAGTTTCAGCTCCGTACAGTAGAACTGCCTTGACGTTGATATTGAAGATTCTGACTTTGATATTGGTTGAAAGTTGTTTTGAGTTCTATATGTTCTTCAGTTGAAGGAATGCGACCCTTGCTTTGCCAATTCTCGCCTTGACGTCTGCATCTGAACCTCCTTGTTCATCGATGATACTTCCCAGGTATGTGAAGGATTCCACATCTTCCAGAGTTTCGCCATCAAGAGTGATTGGATTGCTGTTCTCCGTGTTGTGTTTGAGGACCTTGGTTTTCCCCTTGTGTATGTTGAGGCCTACTGATGCAGAGACTGCTGCTACTCTGGCTGTCTTTATCTGCATTTGTTCGTGTGTATGTGATAGGAGGGCTAGGTCATCTGCGAAGTCCAAGTCGTCTAATTGGTTCTGAGCTGTCCATTGTATGCCGTGTTTTCCATCAGATGTCGAAGTTTTCATAAACCAGTCGACCACCAGAAGAAAGAGGAAGGGAGAGAGTAAACAGCCTTGTCTTACTCCGGTCCTTACTTGGAATGCGTCTGTCAGCTGTCCTCTATGCACTACTTTGCACTGTAGTACGTCGTATCAGTTCTGGATAATGTTGACAATCTTCTCAGGAACTCCATAGTGTCGAAGAAGATTCCATAATGTTCTCCTATCTACTTCAAATGATATATATATATATATATGTTTGCATAAGTTAATACAGAAAATGTTATAATTTATTTTCCACTTCATATGACCTTGACGATAAAAATGCGATTAATAATGATAATAATAACAACAGTATTAATTGATTTTCCTTTTATTCTTTTCTAGAATTTAACTTTTTTTAAAAACAGGAAGAACTAATATTAGTTTATTTTAAGAAAATCTTTTCACAAATTACTGATAATAATTATCAATAGATTAAAACAGAACGTATACATTTGATCTTACTTATATTTATCTGCTGATTGTCTAAATAAAATCTAATAAAGTTTTAGTAAGTAATACCTAGATTGTATAATTAATGAAAAATTTCATTCAAAGGATCATGAATTTAAATTATCCGTTTCTATTTATTAACAACAATAACCTGGAATAAAATTTTAATATTTTAACTAATAATAATAATAAAGAGGTAACTTGTTAATTAAAGATATTCAATGGTAACTATGTGAAAAAATAAACAATATGGATGAAACAGAAGAGTAAGTTATACGAAATTATAAATTAACAGATTAAACATAATAACTTATGAGATCAAACATTATCGTTAAATATAAAGAGGAAATGTGATAGAATAATATCAATGTTTTATAGTAAATAAGATTAACTAGTTCCTCTAAACGATACCTATTTTTGAATGAAATCAAAAATACCCCTATGAAATACGTAAATATCTAATTTCTAATAGTTGAGGGGATGTACGTGATTTCAAAGTTAATTGTTAGTTTAAATTTCATAAGTGGTTTTTTTCTTGTTATTATATTTAGTTAATAGAATAGAGTAAAACTAAAAGCTGATGACGTAATATTGAAATGATCAAAACTGATTAGAATGGTATTGGGTAATATTAAAATAACATTATTTACTTCACCAAACCTAAATGTTGTATGGTGGTAATTTATTACTCATAGTTAAAAACCAATTTATTGTCAATTTATACTCTTTTTATTTTCAGAAATACCTGTCACAGTTATATATTTTCTAATTAATTCACGATTTTCTTTATTCAACTCATTACTAAATTAAATTAACTAACTTCTTATTACTGAAAATGATTCATATCTACAAATAGTGTTTGTTCAACTCTTGTTATTAATTAAATCCCATTGATGAAGCTTAACTGCGACCGATCATTCAAACAATTCTATATCTTATAGGCTAATTCTGAATGATTCTTCATTGGTTACAAACATAATCCGATGAAGCTTTGCAAAAGACCGGTTGAGTATAAAGAATAGAAATTATCTAAAATAATTAGATCAATGAATGGAGTTGTATAGTTGGAAGTGTTGTATTATTATATCAAGTATCATTGAAAGTAGGAAACAAAAAACTTTAACTGTGAAAGGTACGATTGTTAGATGAGATGATTTTTTCAACGATTCCTCGGTTAATATAAAGCCATAATGAATGCTAACTTCAAATAGAAAATATTTCAAAGGCTTTATCGTATAAATTATTAGCTGTTTAATTGATTGTATATGTACTGAATTAATGACTGGATCTGAAGGATTATCGTACTCACCGCCACATCTTATTTTGCGTCAGAATAGCCTTCATAAATCATAGCAATCGTTTCAAATATCAATTGTTGTTTATTAGATACATGGTGGATCCTAAAGAATAAACGACTGTTTTGTATAGTATTTTGTGAAGAAGGTTGTCAACTCCATACCAGCTCGTTGATAATCTAGTTTTAAAATAATTGACAGACTATTATTTAAGAAAGCGTTCGTTGAATATTTCACTCACCCACATCAAGTTTAACTTATTAATCAGCTACAACATGATAATAGTGAGAATAATAATAATCCGGTTTCATTCAGTTATTAAAGCACATTCAGTCTACTCTATTTTAAGCAATCATGCTACAACTTTGTGACTGCGAACAAAAGTTGTGGTAACTGATTATATCTTAATTCGTTTTACAAAATATATTACTGTACGCTTGTTGTAGAAATAAATCTATCCACTTCTACCTGAAGTTTGTGCTGATGATATCCTTCAGAAAAACGATGAAAGCTCAACGACCAAATCATCCAGCTTAGAGAACAAAACTCCATCTTAAATCTACCTAATAGTTCATATTAAACGAAAAAACCGTAAAGTACTGGAACCCAATGAACAAATTTAATGTATATGCACATTACATATACATAAACCATGTATAAAATACCACGTTACTAAGTAAAAAATTCTAACAGTTTAACTGGACATCAATCCAAATGGTCAGTGAACAATTTGCTACGTTCTTATGAATCACATCTTTCAGAGCAAACAATAGTGTTTACAGATGAAATGAAATTTCATGTAGTAAAGCATATTTGTTTTATCCCCGAACATTGTAAATGGGAATTCAGTTGAATAAATTACTTTCGTATGGTAATGTGATAGTTAGCCAGTAAAATTTATTATAACTTTGAAGTTACCTATCAATTAAATTTTGCTTGAAATCTGTAAGCAACAAATTTTATGTCAAGCATATCCACAATAAATGATAGAAATTAAAAACTTCTATTGATTATTATTAAGTAAAATAAATGCATTCAGGAACAGACAGATACGTAGACTTTGATACTAGCAAATTATGAATAGATCTGTTCCGAAACGAATTAACAAACCACAGTAAAAGAAAATCCCTTCTAAATTAAACGACAAATTATTTTCAGTCTTCTTTATGTTATGATTAATAGATGAATGCCTACTATATTTAATGATATTTACTGATAGAAAGATAACTGAATATCTTCTCTGTAATAAAAACTTTATCAATAAAACATTTATTTAAAGATTCATAAGTCTTATCAAATTCGTGAGTTTGATGATAAGGCTTTAAAAAAGGTAACTGTAGAAAATCGATGAATAATACAACTGGTAATAAAGGACAAACAGCTGCCTTTTCTTATTTAAGGTTTTTAAACCGTAGAGACTATTCACCTCTAACAAGAATGAGTTTATGATATTGGAAAATAGTTACTTTGAAATTAATGTATATAATTATGAATGCATGATTACAATTCTTCAAATCTATTGTTCAATATCATGTACAACGACCACATTCTAATTTAATTCTAAATTACCTAATATTGCACTCTATCGGCTCCTTTTATACAAATTATTAATATGGAGAGCCGGAAAGTCAAAAATACCGTGTTCTTTTTCCGTGACAGCCTATATCAAGATGATTAGACAGTCTAATCCATCCCTTATAAGATCTTATCTGGAATGTATCTACTTGTGATCTTTTGTTTTACTGTAACCGAAAGTTTTATAATCAACTCTTAGCATATATAATCAACCATTCACTGATCTTAAACATGGATAAACGTGTTTACTATTACAACTAACTTTACTGATTTCATATGATATAAATCTGCATGATTAAGTAAAGTGTATTACTTTGTGTTGTTTGTTTGAATCTTCCGACTGATGTTCGAGATTGCGATTGATCAGTCTCTTATTGGCATATATGTATCCTGTACGGATTATTTCGGTATCGCCTTAAGTCACACGCATTATAAGGAAAATGATGGTGACTAGTAGTAGAATCCAGGACGCGTGTTTTCTCCTATTTGGACTGGTACTGGGTTTGTATCTCAGAGTGAACATTAATTCTAAAATGTACCAACATTCAAACGACGAGTTCTAAGTGGGATGAAAAGCATGTCCTGAATTCCACTGCTACCTACCTTTCATTTTTGTTTGTAAAAGTATACTACTCTTTTCTTTATTTTTTTGATTAGGTAAATAGCTTTCGTATTATTTCTATTTAATAAAAACGAAATGAATGGAATTTAGTTATATAAAAAATTTTACACTTTATAATGTTTGTAATAAATTCGGCAGAAGAAGTGAACTCTGATATAAATTGTTTGATAAAAGTATAAAATTACTCGATATTACTGAGAAATTATCCACTGGCATTCAATCTACTCATGACGTGTAACAATAAATGTTTGCTTCTCGTTTTCAAGTAACTTTCATAGAAAACTGGTGACATCAAGATTTTTAGTTAAGGTTAACGTTTAAAAACCTAAATGACCTAAAATCATACATTTATGTAAGTAAAAACTTTTAGCTAACCAAAATAAGCTAATTTATTCAACACAAGTGCAGATTCATTGTTTAAATGTAACGGCGTGATAGATGAGTTTATTCTTGGAATTTTATGTACAGCGGTTCATAAATAACACACTAGAGATTTAGTGTTTAGAACACGTAGCTTTAAAAGGTTTCAGATATGAATCCCACCTGTATCCATCTGAATTTGAGTCGTTGATTCGTATCACTAGTGTTCATACAAACAGTGTAGCTTAACACCTTGTACATCAACTTGTGCTTGACAAATCAGCTACATGTTTATTATAAAGTTTTACTATTACAAAAGGATTATAAATCTCATGTAGTTTATTTATTTGGAAACTTTCGATACAATTTATTTCATTTTCTTGGTTACCAAGATAATCATCAAAAATATGAAATTGATCAGTGATTAGTTCAAGTATATTTAATACAAATGGAGGACAATCATTTAAATCGGTACGCAATATAGTTTCATCAATAATAAAAACTTGTCGAAATTCAATAAATAAATGACATTTGTTTATTCGAGTAAATATTAGTTAAATAAATACTATAGAGATTTTAGTATAAGTTTCAAAGAGGAAAATGAATTCAATCTTTTTGATTAAGGCTATGAACCGATTGATATTAGACCACTATTGGACAGCCGTTTCATCCTACTGTGGGACTCCTCAGCAGTGCGTATCCATGATCGTGCTTGTGGGATTCAAATCATTGAAAGGTTTGTTGTTATTTATTAAATTGATGAGTTTTCAAACATACTGTAGTACGTATGTTAAATATATATGATCATCCACTGAAAATAATTAACAATTCATCTAATAATGTTAACACCTACAAATTATCTAAATCTAATGAAGAATTGTTAATTGCGCAGATTATAAAAGCATTCTTAACATAAGAGTGTAATAAAAACATGTATAAATTGTAATAGTGTTGCCATCATCAAATCTAATAGAAAATAAACAACTACATTCAAATTACACATAGTTTCATCGATACGAATCATTTATCAGCTTCCTGTACACATCACACTTAATTAAGTGAATAAAATCACCAGAAAACTGATAATATTTTCATTTATCTTTAAAAAGAGCATGGGACCTAATAATTGTCGCATGTTATACAAGTTACGAATATTTCATTCACAAACTAAAAACTACGAATGGTAAAAAGGGACAAAAAAGATACCTATTAACAAGGTAAAAATACATTTGATCTATACCCCATGTATTCAATACGGTTTAAATTAGCTATACACATATATTCTTTGTAAATTAGAATTCGACACTAAGCACATGTAGACTGAATTAAACCTAGCAAAATATGTAATGTTTGTACTAAGTTATTCAAAATACAGCTGATTGTAATCGTGAATGATTTGATCAAATATTTATAAACTTGTAAGATATCATCAAATAACTAATTTGTTTTATTCATATGAAAGAGGAAAGCATGATCTTTTGGTTGATTTTTGATCTAACGTTCAATTATCATTAGTTTTATTCATCAGTATGTTTTTGAGATAACTCAATGAGTAGAAAATTTTATTCCTGACGTTTAGCGTTTTAATGTAAGTCATTTCTTCAATGTAAATAAGTTTCTAGTAATCATTATATAATTATTGATAAGACATTTGATTATTTTATTCTAGCATTCAACAAAGCAAAGGAAAAGGAAAATTCTCATTCATAACTATCTACATACAGAAATATATCACAATATCGATCAGAAAAATACTTTCATTATTGTTTATAATGAGTCTAACTTAACTGTCACGTTCACCACAAAAAAAAGAAATCCTATGCGAAATGTAACACCACCAAATAATACAAATTAGTTCATCTGTATTTAATCCAGGTTGAAAGCGAAATCGTACTTAAAATAGCGAATACAGCTAAACAGAACCTAATACTGTGATGTAGCTGATTTTATTGACATGTAGTGTTACTATCAAACATGAGACAATGTAGTATTATCAATAACCCATAAAGCTCATAGAAGACAATACATCCAACGAACCACTGTACACGTACACCTAATTAACAACTGTTATTACCCAGATATCCATGTGTTGACATTCTCAGAATATTTAAAAATAATTCATAAATGATCTCAGTAGTAATTTAGCATTCATTATCAGAAATAAATCTTAAATTCTGAGAATACTTTTTAAATTAAGCCTTTTATAAAAACTGAATATTTTCAAAATGTGACTTACCCATTGTTTTCATAATTTTTATTTAATCCCCAATATTTGAATTTTGTACAAAATCGTAGATCGTTCGATCATAAAAACACGTTGTAGATATTTACACCGATAGTATTTAAAAAATCTATTTCCCTCCACTCTCGGAAAGAGATTTTGTCACGTTCCCTATTTGACCTGATAGGCAAATATTACAGCAAAAGGGTGAGAAAAATTGGGCTCCGTAATCTGATTGGTTGATCTCAAGGCCATGTGTGATTTAACCTTGATGGCTTGATTCGACTAGTTTACAATAATTGGGGACAGACCTTCGTCCGATCAAAATAATAGTCTATAACTAGTGTTTTTAGTGATTATATCTCAATAACAAAAAGAAATTTTATTAAGAATAAAAAAAAATATGTTCCCACGGTAAAGAAATTTACAATAGTATTCGATGTCATATGAAAACTTTATATTATTGAAATTTTCGTTTCAGTAGAAAAGTAGACTGCCCTGTTGACAGTGGGTGGACAAAAGTTTTAAAAAAATAATAATAGTTGGAAAAGCGGGGAGTTTCAAGTAACTTAACAGAAAATAAGGAAATATAAACCGTATACGCCATATTGATTGATTTCTTTGTTACGAAATATTTATTCAACTGGTCATCATATCCAGATATAATGTAGATCACTTCTGTCTAGTTAGTATACTTTGAACGAAATTCCTATAGAAAATATAAGATAGAATTAATATGATATTTTATACCTATTTGCTATTGATAAATTGATACATTTTCATTTTAAATAACCGCCTTTAAAGTATTAGCCGATAATATAATTACTTATTCATCCATTATATATTTCATGAAGACATTTCTCAAAGACAACTAATTAATACATGCAAACTAACTTCTGTATCAATAAACTTCCCAAATAATAATCACTAAGTTATAGTAACCAAACTTTGATATATTATTTGATTGAGATCATGAACCGATTGATATTAGACCACCATTGAAATCCTAGAAACACTGGACGGCCGTTTCGTCCTGTCATAGAACTCCTCAGCAGTGCGCATCCACGATCCCGCTCGCGGAATTCGAACCCAGGGCCTTCAGACTCTCGCGCGAATGCTTAACCTACTCGACCACTTTTGATATATTAACACTAAAATTATCCGAATAAAATATACTACTGAAATAATTATTTGATTTAATCAGTAGTAAGGTTTTCTAACCATATTATCATGATTAGAAAAACTCATTTTGCTTTATGTTAATTTTCTTTTAAATTATCTATTACTTCATTATAAGTGAACTTTAAAATGTAAAGTATTTTCATTCCTCTTCTAATTAATTAGTAAATTATTTAATAACTTAAATTCATTTGGGAATTATGCCGAATTCTGCATTAATAATCAAAGTTCATTATTCAAATCTTGAATATGATATAGAAATATATTAATTAACTTTAATTCATGAGGCTATAAATAATAATTTACTATTTTTATAATACTTTAATGAGTAGAACTTTATATTTCTGATGTTTTGTGACTTCGTGTGGGTGGCTTCTTCAGAATATATACTTGTGTTAACTTTATTTTGACTATTTATTTATATACTCTGAAGAAATCACTTAAATTATGTCACGAAACACCAGATATCACAAAATTTACTCACTATTTTAATGAATCAAATGAGTTTATTAGGACAAAGAGTGAACTTAAATGAGATGATTTTCATTTAACTTCTCATGAATAAAACGCCACTAGCTAGTCACTAATTAATTTCAGTGAGTTCAATGAGCAACATCATATATATATATATATATATATATATATATATATATATATATTATATATATATGTATATGTATATATATATATATATATATATATATATATATATATAAGAATTATAAGGATGATCGGTGAATTTAAACCGAAATCTAAAATGTAGACAGATTTGTATAGCAAACCTTTAAGTTTATATCTCGATACTTTAACGAATGACTACAACACCTGTCTACTAATCACAACTTTATTTGTCTTCAGGTCTCTAGCTGATATATGAATAAAAGCGGTCCAAAGAAATTTTTTCCTCACAAAGCTATAAATATCTCATTTATGAAATCTACTCGTAAATTACGCAATATCCTTTCGTATATCAGAATATAAATAAACTTATCGGTTATACTACATCATATCATTTTCAAATAGTTAGTCTTTCATAGATATTTGGATTTGTACACGCTGACCAGAATTTCATTTTCACATAATGTCTGTCGTAATCAAATATTTCTGATTCTACATGTTGACATCTATAAAATTGGTAATAAAACAAATATGTATCTTTATCAATCAGGTCAAATGACAAGAATCTTAAAATAGATTTTGGTATACTGAACATTTATAAATCTCAGTGGTTGAGATTATGAGTCAATTAAAGCTAGACCACCATAAAAAACCTGGATGCACTGGACGGTCGTTTCGTCCTATTGTGGGACTCCTCAGCAGTGTGCATCCACGATCTCGCCTCCCAGCGAAGTTCGAAGCCGGGACCTGTCAGTTTCGCGCGCGAGCGCTTAACCACTAGAACACTGAGCCAGCATCCAACGGTGTTAATGTCTCATTTAAACCAATCCACCAAATTGAGCGACACATGCACCATTGTCATCAGTGAGTTGATTTCTCACAACTCCACTGGTCACTGCTTCTCACTAGGACTCTAGGAAGTACCTCCTGAAGCCAGTCACTAGTGAGCATATGTTGTTTCATAACAGAAAAGATTTTGCGGATATTATAGTGATTTCGATGGTTGAGATCATGAGTTAAGTGATACTGATGAGGAGTCCCACAATAGGACGAAACAACCGTCCAGTGCCCCCAGGTTTTCCATAGTGCTCTGGCTTCAATTGACTCATGATCTTAACCGCTTAAATTGCTATAATATCAATAGAAACTCTTCTGATATTTATGAGTTTATCAATCATAGAATAGTCAGACTGACATGAAAATAATACGATATTATTGAGGATTCCCTGATCAGATTTTGATTTTTTTTTCTAAAGTGAATCAACTGTACCAATATTTGAAACAAATTCACTTACACTTATAAGGTCAAAATGTTTCAATTAGACAACCTTGAATCCATGATCACATGTTTAAATCTTATCATAACATTAACGGATTATGGAAATTTTCTAAATGACATTTAATAACAAGTATTGAGATTGTACAAATATAAATGATATATTTTTAGCAACAGTATTAATCAGAAAAGAATAGAATTTGTTTTTAATATGTACTTTATGATATATACAGGGAGAAAATGGATGAATATTTAATGTCATAATTTCAATAAATATTCATACGAAATATTCTTAAGTAACTTGAACATATTTAACTTATCATAGTAAATAGTAAACAACAAATATAAAACATGAATAAATATAAGACGAGTCTTATCTATTTGTCAACATGGTTACTATTCCATTACTATCCACTATCCATCTTTGCTTTTAAAAAAAGCTTGTAACTTAAGGTTATATCGAGGCAATCCTCACAAGATGAATATATATCAACAAGAAACTGATCAATTACAGTCCTAAATAGAAAAATGAAGAGATACAAATAAAAACAACATCAAGTGAATTTAAACAAAATAAATTCTTGAAAAAAGAAATTAAAAGTAGTAAAGCGAATCACAAATAGAATTTATGTAAACTTGAATATATTTGAAATAATGACAATTTCTATTATAAATTTCTTTATAACTATTCATTATTCACTTTTTGTTATCATAATATGTTGGTTTCAAAATTAATAAGCATGAAGTTCATAACACAATACTTACTTAATAGTCATCCTATTAACTATTTAGTTTTGTAATTTCCAATTTTATTATAGAAATTATTATACCTTCATGTCGATAGTAATAAAGTTTACTATATGTCAATATTTCTCCATGGTAATAAATCACACATTCAACAGTACATAATTTATAAATATTAAAGTATCTTATTCACACTATGTGTTCCCAATATGTATCAACTAATAGACAACCTTTTAAGAATTTTGAATTAATATATTTAACTTATAAAATAACGAGAATTATGTGGGTTATTATACTTATATGTCGGTAGTATATACATTGACAAAAGTGGTAACGGCATTTCACTAACTGATATTTGACGTTCAAAAGAAATGCATCAGAAAGTCATTCATACTCCTTTAAAAGATAAAACAAATGAAAACAATTCAGGGATTTAATAACGGAATAAACCATACCTATTAAATTTATAAAAGATTAAAGAGCTACATAACTTGCTAGTTTAGAATTTAAGGAAGAAAATACATTAAATACTTTAGAATAAGTAGTAATCGCATGTTTTTTACTGCTTCAAAAAAATAGTTATTTCTGGTTTATCTCAATAATTATAGGCTAACTCTTTATGTATGTTCCTCAAGATTATAGTCAATTTCATTTCGTTATTTTTATAATAATAATGAGTAAAAACTAGGTCTCGTATTCGGTCCTCTTCTTCACATCCTATGATTTATTATTATTTTTACAATGAATTAAAATTTTGATCCATATTTTCTCTAATATTTCTTCTTTATTTAATTTCTATGTTCAGTCAGTCCTCGAGGTAACTTTCTATTATTTTCCATCATACAATCAGTTGGGAAAACATCCATGTTTTAACCATAACCTTAAATTTGTAATGAAATGCGAATATGAAGTATGAACAACCTGAAATAACATGAACAATATTCCCAAGCAAGTTAATTATAACTGTCACAAATGTCTAAATGCAAATTATGCGATGATAACCCAATACTTATTTACCGATTATACTTCAAACTACTGAAAACATATAAGTAATGTGATCTTTGATTGGTACTCAATAACTGAACAAGTCTGGTTGTGAAAAAGCATAGACAGTATTGATTACCTTGCATTCGCATTATATAATAAATTTAGCAAAAATAACCTCGCTAAAACAAAATTTTTATCTTATCCACAGTGTTATGTGTATGAATTTGTCAA